TTTGGCAACCACCAATCTGTTCTCTGTATAGATAAGTTTGGTTCATGGTTTTTTTGGTTTGGGCTTTTATTTTTTTAGACCCCACATGTAAGTAAGATCATAAAGTCTTTCTCTGACTTATTTCACTTAGCATAGTGCACTCAAGGTCCATTCATGTTGTCACAAATGGTAAGATTTCTTTCTTTTTCATGGCTGAGTAATACTCCATTGTACATCATTGTATATGTATACCGCAATTTCTTTGTCCATCCATCCGTTGGTGACCTCTTGGGTTGTTTCTGTGTTTGTTTGGCTATGGTAACTATGCTGCAGTGAACATGGGGGTGCAGGTAGCTTTTCGAGTTGCTGTTCTTATTTTTTTCAAGTAACCATCCAGAAGTAGAGTTGCTGGATCACATGTCCATCATTTCTTAAGTGACAAGTTCAATGAATCCTTTTAGTCCTCATTTTTCTTTATTTTTCCTTGGGATTTAACATTTTTTTCTTGCTTCTTTTTTATTTTTCTTCTCCCTTTTGGTCAATCAAGATTCTGAGTCTAGCCTAGGCTTAAGGGGAACATGAGACCTCACCTCTCAGTAGGAGGAGTAGCAAAGAATCCTCAGCCTATTAGCCATGTATTTTTGCAACTTTCTTTTCCTTAGGCTTCAACAGAATCATGCTCTCCTGGGTTGTCTCCTCCATCTGATTCCCCCCTGTCTGACTTTTCCTGGAGGATCTTCGTCCTCTTTTTTCTGACATTTGCTGGAATGTTATATGTGACTCTTGCTTCTCATATGACATTTTCTCATTGGGCAACTCAGACCAGTCAGCAGGCAATGACTGTACAGCATAATCAGTGCTGATGGAGAACAGAGCCATCATCTGGAACATCAAACAGGCCTCAGAGATGTACAAGGCATTGGTGCAGGGCAGGAGTGGAATGTGGTTCTGCTTGCGGGAGAGCAGGATGCTGGGGGCTCTGGTTGAGAAAGGAGGCTGGAGCAGCAGGCAGAGGTCAGGACACAGAAGACTGCACGTGTCATCCTAAGAAGCCTGGACTCTGTCTTTCTGTTTATCCAGCGGATTTTTCTAGGTTCTCAGAATGTACCGAGTGCTATCATTTCATCTGCTGTGGTGCATCTTATGTCTGCAATGTAGAAATACCTTTTTTTATTCCACTGAGATGAGCTTACTAGGATGGCTCTTGTGAATACAAAAAGAGATTGTGTAAAAGATGTCCTGGCAGGGGTGGGAAGGGGGTGGCATGGGGAGTGGGGAGCAGAAAATAATGGTTTTATATTCAGTCAGTCTAAAAGAATTTTAATGGGATATTATGTGTGATTTATTGGCACTCCCAAAATATTTATTCAGTAATCGGAGATATACTCAGCATAGAGCCTGAGATAACATCATAAGTTCTAGAACACTTGCAGACAAACTCAGGGCTGAAAGCAAGTTCCACTACGACACAACATTCACATGGCATGCCAAGGAAGAATCATTTTCATTAGAACACGGTTCTCCACTGAGGGGCACATCTTACAACCACAGGAGCATGGGATGCAGACATGCTGAGGTCCAGTCCTTGGCCTCTGCCAATAGACATCTGCCTATTTTGTTACAGTCAGTGCCTCACTTTCCTGCCACCTCAGGATCTATCTGATCACCCAAAGTGTTTTTATCAGTTCCCTGATACACAGTGAGAGATAGTCATGAGAAAATGATGGCTCATGCTTGAAAAGTCATTTCTACCTTCTCTGTCCTTAAAGGGAAATCCCTTCTGCTTCAGATCTTACCCTTTAAGAGATCATCTTTCCAGGAGTGCCTTCCCCTTGCTTCAGAAACCTCTAGAACTGGAGAATGGAAAGGCTTGTTTCTTGCCAGTGTTGTTCATCTTGCTGTTGGAGTTCCTGCTGGTCCATCAGAACACGTCTGGATTTTCAGGTGCATCATCCATCAAGAAAAAAGAAGTTGCCTACTGTTCAAGGCTAAGGACAAGGGAATGAGCATTAAAGCACCTGATGTGACTTCTCTGGCTTTGCTGTCTGCAGCCCGCTGCCCCCTGGGAGGACACCCCGGAGCTGAGTGCCTTCCTGCGGAACTCCACCATCCCTCATCTTGTCAGGAAGAGAGATGTAGCTGTGCTGGAGCCTCACAGACAGAGCCCTGCAAAGATACTGGTGAGTCATCTCAGTGTGCAGAGATCTGAGAGGAAAGGTGAATTTGACAGAATTCCCCAATACAGGCAGTTTAAACTACAAGTGTTTTTCAGTCTCTCCAAGGCCCAGAGATGCCCAGTGTTTCAACAGTACATGTTGTAGACATGAAAGTGACTTTTCTGGAGGGACTTGGGAGTATTTGCAATATAATCTTTTCACTTTTCTAAACCTGCCATGTGGGCCACATTTAGAGAAATAATGATGAAAACAAAAAACGTGATCTTTCATGCATTTCAAGAAGGCAAAGATTCAATTGTCAGTCTGGCAGCTGGTGAGAATTTGAAGTGAGCCTGGAGAAACACTGTCCATGCAGTGGATCCTTGGGAAGTTGCACCCCATGCCTGCATCTCACAGTCCTCAGCTCCACCGGAAGAGTCGAGAATGTTTTCAAAGTTCCTTGGCCAAAACCCTTGCAGAGTCTTAGCATTGGGATTTGTGGTGGATCTAGTCTGAGCTTGGTCAGCTCCTTGTAAAACTGTGGACAGCATTCCTAAGTAAGCATTTTCAATTCAGTTTTCCCACTCATTCTGGTGTGAATGTTAATGCCACTGGCTGTATGCATGAAAAGTGGTAAGTTTTTTAAATGGATGTCCCTTTGAAAAATGTATGCCAGGCCTGACAGATCATGAGGGCACTGCCCCAAGACTCTTTGATCACTGCAACAAATAATAATAAAACCTATATAATCTCCCAACACTTCACAAGTAGAGACACATGGGGATGGGCAGAACAAAAAGTAACCAAATGTGTAGAAAAAGAGCAGTATAAAACAATTTTTCAAGCCAGGGTGAGAGATTGAACACGCATTTGCCTAATTTTCTCCCAAATCCCACTGAAATACATTAACGATTAATTAATGTATTATGTATGCCTTGCACATGCTCATCTTGACCATACAAAAATTTTCAAACATGGAAATGGACACAAAAGTACAAGGGGCAAGTCTAACATAATCAGTTATAACTTAAATCAAGAGAGAACATTTATTATAATAGACATAACTTCAATTACATGGCAAGAAGCTATGGCAGTTGGCAGGCTATGGCTCAAGTCCCTGTAAATTTTTATGGCACTGTAATGTTTTTCAGAACATAAGATTAGGGAATCTATATGCTCTTCAGTTTAGAGTCAATTAATAAAATTAATGTTACCTTTTTAAAAAAGCTTCCAGGAAGAATGACAGAACAGAGAACTGTGATTTAAGTTCTGGGGATGTATTGTACAGCAAGGTGACTACTGGTGATAATATTGTCTTGCATATTTGAAAGTTGCTAAAAGAGTAGGTCTTAAAAGTGCTCATCACAAGAAAAAATATTTTTGTAACTATGCCTGGTGATGGATGTCAACTAGACTTATTGTGGTGATCATTTCACACTACACACAAATATTGAATCATTATGTTGTACATGTGAAGCTAATAATGTTATATGTCAATTATACCTCAGTTAAATTTTTTATTAACTAAATTTTTCCAAAAAATAAAACAGTGATTGACATCTATAGAATTCTGATATTCAGTACCAAAGGGAAAGCCCTCTGGAGAACCAACATCTAAACCTATGGAGACCAACAATTTGGAAAATCAAGATTCAAATGTTTTTCGATTTCTTTCCTCTTGAGTGTATTTCTCATGAGGCAAAGGAGATCAATAACTAAAATTCCTTTGAAAATTATATTCACTTTTGTAGGATCAGATTTTCCCCTCCTATTCTTTCTTATTAAAGATTTTTAATGCAAGACAATTTTTAACTTCTGAATATCATAGAAACATCTTACTTACAGATGAGAGCAAGATGAGCCTTGATTTCCATTTCTGACTTGGTTAACTCATGTCTTATTCCCTTTCTCTCTTATTGTTTCAAAAATTGCAAATCATCCACCTCCCCAATGTCTTTGAGTCAAAACAGTCCTGGATAGAAAGTGATTATGCAAAGTTTATTCTAAAATCAAAAGCTAAATAAGACCTCCTACAGTTTTTGTTTAGTTAAAAACAACTTACAGAATCCCATTTCTGAGGAGGAAAAATTTGGAAGTGCAGAATGCCAACATTCTGTGTTGGGATCATAATTTCCAATTTGCATCGGAAACATTTGTATCTACTAACACTGAACTGTAATTTCTCCTCTGCCTAAGAATATCCTTGCCTTTCTCATTTTGGGCACCCTGCTGCTTCTGTAGTCAACCACATGTCCTCCTCCTCTCCAGGCTCTCTTCACCTTCCTATCACTACTCAGCTTATGGAAGCCTTATCTTTGTAACCCTCTTCAGGCATGTGATGCTCTTGACCACTTCTTGAAATCATCACATCTCTTGTCTTCCCCAAACATTCACTCCTGGTTCTCTTCCTACCTGTTTGCCTGACCCTCCCTAGGATTTTTCAGGGACTTCTCTTCTGCCCATTCCTAAATGCTCCTGTGCCTCAAGATTTCATCCATAGCCCCCTCTTCTTCTCTCCCATTGACTTTGCTCCTTCAGAGAAATGTCTTGCACCATCCAGTCACTTCTAAGTGCCTCCTGCCATCTTAGTCCTCCCTGACTACACTCTGGAGTGTGCATGTTCTTCTGGTTGTCTGATCAACCCCAGTCTCAACATGTCCATGTCCCCCAAAATGTGCTTCTTCTCTAAAATTCCCAATCTCAGTAAAGCCAGTACCCATCCACTCATGCCCTCAAGCCAAAAGAGCCCCCCTCATCCCTCCCTCTCCTTCACCTCAACCTTCGACTAGTCATCAAGTATATATTCTACCTCCTAAATGTCTCTAAAATTCATCCTCCTCTCTCCCTTCCCACTGCGCCTGTTCAGGGTCCCATCATTTCTCACTTGGACTCTTGAAGCAAGCCTTTAACAGCCTCCTTGCCTCTTGCTGTCCTCCCTCTATTCTTCCTCAATTACCACCTATCCCCTAAAACACAAACATGATCAGATCCCTTGCCTACAATGTTTCACGGGTGCCCCAGGACATTCTGCATCAAACCAAATCTCCTTCGCACAGAGAGGAAGATTCTTTTCCACTTAGACTTTCCACCTGCCCACCCCACTCCCAAATCCCCTTTTCTTCTCTATCCTGAACGTGCACTGGCCTTGTATAAGAGGACTGTGTCCCCATCATCAAGTCCTGCTAGGTAACTCTTTCTTGCCCTTCAGGATTCATTGTGAACATCGCCTTCTCCAAAAATCCTCCAACAGAGCTGGCTAACTGGGATCAACATCCCAGGGAGTTTATAAGAACTATCTCCTCCTGACTTCCCTCTTTTGCCTCCAGAGGGTGGAACTGGCAGTACACAGCACACCAATAAGGGAGCAGAGGTAAACATGAGGGTCCTTACAGGTGACACGAACTGTAGAACTTCTGAGAATTCCTGCTGCCACTCAAGGCACAAACCCAAGCCCCTTAGTGCCAAACTCAGTAGAACAGGAACAGCCCAGCCCACCTGTATTTGGAAACATCATATAGAAATCCGGCCTCACTAGATTTTATCAGATACACAATACTGACTACTTTGTTTTTGGAGAATTCTAAGGTTCTCAAAAAAATGTTTACATCATAGTACGTTCCTCAGGTTACCGTGTGGTTTATCAGTGTCATTAAAGTGAAATGCCTGAGTCAACGACTTCACATAATACCCAATAAACTGATGTCTATTTAGCGTCCGTGCTTGAGATATGAAAAATGAATCAAGCATAGCCCACAAGATAAATTGAAATCAGTGAGGGAGGACAATTTGAGAAGTATCATTCTGTTCATGGGCATATAGAAAATGGAATGTAAGGTCTCCAAGTATGTACATACTGGGATCCAACCAGAAGATACAATTTAATAGACAGAATGTCACCATAACGAACATTTTCCAGGAACATGCATTTCATGTATTTAAAGTTACCCATTGTACATTGGGCAACCCTACAAAGTAGTTTAAAAACAGCTTAATGGATGGAACTTGCAGAAGATTCTGCTTTATAACCAGGAATTAATTTAGACAGAAGGATGTTGTGGAACAAATACTTGTCAATAGGTTCATATCATTGGGTCTCTGAGATAGTACAGACTCGTGGCCCTTCCTCTTAAGCCTTTTCGGGATTTGCTTGGTCAAAGGCTGGGTATTGTGATTGTAAGAAATATCCTCCGAGTTCTGAGAAAACCAAACAGAGCAATTCAGTCGCTGCTTTGGGAAGATTGTTTTAAAGCCCTTAGAACAGAGGATAAACTTTGTTGTATTTTATGTTCCATTTTAACTCTACATTACCACTAATGTTGGTGCATCTTGAATACCAGAGTTTTTTCTTGATTGTTTCAGTGTATTTGTTCTGTATTTAAATTAAAAGTTTATGGATTAAGCAATGACTTCAGGAAACAAAATGTAAGTAAAGTGACTTCAGTGTTGATTCTCTGCCATGATTTAAACGCACTGATTTGCCACCACTGCTGTTGTTTTCTGCAGAATTGCACCAATATTGAGTGCTTACAAATCTCCTGTGCGGTGGGAAGGCTAGAAGGAGGAGAAAGCGCAGTCCTGAAAGTCAGATCACGGTTATGGGCCAAGACTTTCCTCCAGGTAAGAAAAGCACCCAAGCGCTTACACGCTACTCACAGGAAACCTCTTCTCAAAAAGCTCAGAGGGGCGCTTTTTGTTTGTTTGTTTTTAAATTTTTTATGGAAGTGTAGTTGATTTACAATGTTAGTTTCAGGTATACAGCAAAGCGATTCAGTTATACATATGCATACATTTTTTAAGAATTTTTAAATGTTCTAATTAAATTTTTTAATGTTTTAATTTTCAGGTTTTCAATTAAAATTTTCATATTTGATTTTTACGTTTTAGAATAATTTTTAATTTAAAAAAATTGTTATATTTTTCTCTTTTTAAAAAATTTAAAGAAATTTCAGTGGAGGAATTGAGCCAAGATCAGCTGGTCATCTTTCCCATTAGGTGAAGTTGATATTTTTCCAGCTTTGCTGAGATATTATTGACAGATAACATTTGTAAGCTCAAGGTGTACAACATGATGATTTGATACTATATATTGGGAAATGGTTACCACAATAAGGTTAATTAATACCTCCATCCCCTCACATCATTACGTGTGTGTGTGTGTGTGTGTGTGTGTGAGAGAGAGAGAGAGAGAGCTTTTAAGATCTAGTCTCTTAACAACCTCGAGGTTTATGACACAGTATTACTGACTATAGTCACTATGTTGTGCATTTGATCCCCAGGACTTATTAGTCAACTAGTTGCAAGTTTATACCCTTAAAAAACATCTCTCCATTTCTCCCACCCACAGCCCTGGTGACCATCATTCTACTCTCTATTTCTATGAGTTTGGCTTTTTTTAGATTCCACAGATAAGTGGGATCATACCCTATTTTTCTTTCTCTGTCCGATTGTTCTGACTCAGCATAATATAATGCTCTCAAGGTCCATCCGTGATACTGCAAAAGGCAACATTTCTTTCTTTTTTATGGTTGAATGATGTTCTGTTGTGTGTATGTGTACGTGTGTGTGGTATGTTAGGTGAAGACAATTTAAATATCCTGAGTCTCTAAGACTTCAGATAGTATCTTAGATTTGAACAGATCTATTTAACTCAACCACTGTAGATCTATTTAACTCACCACTGTGTAGTAGTTCCTCAGTAAATATTAGTTAATGAAATGATGGTAAGTAAAAGAACACAATTCAAGCCTTATGCCCACAAAATTAAAAATATAAATTAATTTAGAAAGGAAAAGAGATACTGTCCTATAAAGTTCCTGTCTGGTGATCCAATGGCCTGGCTGCAAGCCAGAACAGCCTTTCAGTTAAGTTCCATTTATGATGACTTGTAGATTTCTCACTGGGTTGGCCCGTCTGGATTGCAGCATCCCACACTTCAAGGGATGATTACTTTGACTGCATGCATTTTAAAGATTTTAAATCTCTTCTATATTAAGCAAATGAGTTTTTCCATTTGGAAAGATCTACTCATTTAAGTGATACTACTGTGTTGTAACCTTGTTGTTTGGGGTGGGTTTGGGAAAGGGGGAATAGCTAAATTAAAACTCCTACCAAGTCTTTTACTCATATTTTAACTACTAAAAAATCATTTGGCTCATTGTGCCACAGAAAAATCCAATGGTAAAAATCCTAGAGTTTTTAGTATCTCTAGATTCTCATGTTTTCTATGATTCAAAATACTTCTGTATAGTCACACAAATTTTTTTTTAATTTTGTTTCTAAAATAAACAGGGGGAAAATTAAAGGTATTTTTAAAGGGATTTGTGAAGCTGCCATCTTCTTTTAAAAACAAACAAACAAACAAACAAACAAAAACCTCAGGAAAGATTCTTTGACCTCAGCACTATTAATATTTTGATTCAGACAATTCTTTGTTGTGGGTGTTGTCCCGTGCATGAAAGGATGTTTAGCAGCATCCCTGGCCGCTGCCCCCTGCTCACCAGATGCCAGTACCAGTTCCCACCTCAGTTGTGACAACCAAAATATCTCCAGACACTGCCAGTGTCCCCTGGGGGCAAAATCATCCCCGGCTTTGAACTGAACTAAGGAGATATGTAGAGCAAAATTTATTTTTTTGTTGTTGTTAAGCCATGGTTTATTCATTCACTCAACAAATATTTGTGGAGTGTCTGCTGCCAACTATGTGTCAGGCATGGCTTCAGGTCCCACTTGTATGGGACCTTATCATTCTGCTTTTTGGCTATTAACTTCATATCTAAGAGTTGGGGGAGGTGAGTCTTAATGAATTCTCAAGCCCACACAGTCTAAATGATAACCATCACCCTTCCTGTTATCTTGGGCATCACATCCTACCAAAATGAAGGAGAGCAATGTTTCACTGAAGTGGGACTAAAGTCGTGACAACACTCCAGACAAGGGGGAAATGACTACCATAGATGACTTGCGTCAGTTCTGTGCCGACACCCTATTCCGTGGGGTAAAGCCCGCATCTTTCTCTACCTGTTAGGGAATGACCCAGTGAATGTGGAAGAACTCAGTAGCAACTGAGGGACTTTCTGAAAAATAAATATTTAGCACAGAGTCAGACCAGAGCAATCTGCAGGGACATTCTGATGTTCTACCAGAGCAAAGTGACACTTCCAAAGATTTAGGAGAGACACGCCAGTCACTTCGCTTGCGCCAGAGCCCAGAATTCTGTACTTCCACAGTTTCTGCTCACACACCAGTCTTGGAATCTGACTTCTAAAGAGGAGAGCATTAGTACAAACTGCCCCCACCTGCCACTCAAATAACATAGTGTATACTGGAAGTCTTTAATAGTTTTGTCACACAACCCAGAAGGAGTTAAATATTTTCTGCCTTCCTAATCCAGGCAAGAAGGCTTACAGTTCTTGGTTGACAGGATTTGCTGCGTTATGTTTGGTTTTGCCCATATGGTGAACCATGTGTACTGATCAGAAAAAGATTTTAATTGAGTTAGTTCTAAACACTGTTCTGTGTAGTGACCATTACTTGAAACAACAACCTCCTTCACAGCTTAAAGTTTTACCAGAACTAGGTTTTGTCATCCCACAAGGCTTTGTGTTTGGTAGATGCTGAGTGTTCAAACATGGGCTATATAAAATGGTTGTGTAGTTAAAAGTCATTCTTGAGAAGGGTTTAAGCTGCGGGAAAGGTGAGAGTGCAGAGTCCTACATGCTCCCAGCCACCCTCACCAGGTATTTAACCAACTCAAAAGCCTCACTTTCCATCCCATTTGTTACCAGTTCTGTAACTTTGATTCGTCCCATGACCAGATGCAAATCATTGTGCACTAGTACATAAGAGAGGCAGCTGGTGGGCTGCAATCCACAGTTTAAATGATGTGGCAATGACAGAGGAATAGGCATTTTCTGAGGATTAAGAGCTAACTGGGGTATGTTGAAGGTCCAAGACATTGTCAAGGGATATTATTCCAGCTGCTTTTTTTCAATCCTAAATTGCCTACAATTACTATTACAGGAGTAGGTTGCTACAGAGAAGAGAGAACTTTTAAATGAAAGAATAAAGTCATTGTTGTGTCAAGAGCATGGCTGAAAGCATTCAACTGTGAACAAGGAGTCAATAATAAGACTCTGCTCATAACTGTTTTTCATGAATGAAATCCTGACCTGTGCCAGGCCTTTCACTTACAGACTCGTGTGTCTTTGATGCCAACCCAACTGATCGGAGCCTAAGAGTTCACATTTCCTATTCCTTGGTGCTCCATCTTTAAAAATGGGGAGAAATGCATTTTTTTCTACTGAAAAGATAGGAAGAAACCTTGGTTTTGGAGAATCATTTGAAATAAAGAACAGATCAGTCTGTCAGTTGTGTTGTTGACAGGCTATTTGCCTCCTAGTGAATTTATTCAGGCCCCAGACTGTGTCCATCTCCATCCCTGAGTTAAATAGCAGAGGAAAGGGTTTCATTAGCCCCTTGGCATAAACTGGAGCCCTCATTATATGTCATAACTTCCTGAACTTCCTAATCTAGTTGATGGGGGAGGAGGCCCAATTCAATAATTGAAAGAATTCAACATTTTATAAGGGGCTATCAAATGGGTGGATATGGGAGAGGAGGGTCATTCCAAACCAAACCATCTGATGTGTTCCGTCACTATCCATTCATGCTGTCAGTCAACCAGGATTGATGAAGCCCTCCTGTGTGTGCTCTTCTAGGTGCTATGGAAGGTATAAGCCTTCTATTCCAAAGCTCTAGCTTTCTGTTTTTGTATAATCTTGTCAGGGAGGAAAATAAGAGAGACAAATAAAAAGTTAAACAACGTGAAAATTCCAAACAATATAAGGCAACTATAGTCTCACCCCAGACTTACTGAATCACCTTCTCTGAGCCTGATGCCAGGTGTGTCTGAGGCTCAGCACAGCACAGTGGTCTGTGAACCCTCAGAAATGAAGGTAAAGATTGGTGATGAGTGGAAAATGGGAGGAGAAATCAAACTGGCGAAGAGCAGAGGGGTGAAAGAAACGAGGTGAGAGAAAATCCCAGCAGAGAAGCATGGTTCTCCATATTCTAGAGTTCAGGCCACATCTCTTATTCATTAAGAAACTTCCACATTCATAAATGCAGAATCATGTAGGACAAAAACTTTCCATCTGGAGTTGATACAGAGACACAGTTCTCCCATGATTTGTTTCCAAAGATATGACTTAAGAGCAAGGGAATAATTTTCCATCAATGTTTCTTCAGTTGAACTTGGAGACTAAAGAAAACTTGTTCTTTGAAGGTATGGGAGCCTGGACCCATTTGAGTATGTGATTATAAACCTTATGCACAGAATCTCATTACCAGAATTTGTCATGTTTCTTCTGTGTCTACCAGCCAGGGTGGTAAGGAAAGTAAATTTAAATCACTGAGTACACGTAAGATTTTATGAGCAAAGACTTCCACATTAAAAGAAAAAAAAAAACACTTCTCACACAAACAAACAAAAAATGCAGCTTTCAGTTGAAATGGAAATGCCAGGAGACAAGAGAACATCAGAAGATAAACAACCAGAAAAGACTTTTTCCAAATGAACGAAGTTGCTTATCCTGGTATGTCAGGGTAGAAAGAACAAAAAAAGCCAAAGATATAGTGAATTCAAGTATATATAAGTTTTGCAATCTAGCCTGTCCTCTTCATGCAGAAGAAATGGGGTTAATGGAAGGAAGAAAAAATACAACCACTGGTGGGAAAAACTTTGTAAAAATATTTAAATAATTTACTACAATCCAACCTGTTTGATTGGTCTCAAGAAACCCAACACTGGATTATAGATGGTGAAGTGCTAGTAAATATTTCATAAACCACTGTCTAGGTGCATGGATAATAGTCAAATCCAATAAAATGATTGCTAAGTACTGTGTTTTGAGTATCTACTGCTTCCTTAAAAGTGTAATTTATGAAAGTTTATGTATATTTACTTTGTTTTAATAATGGCTCTATTTAACAGCTGGTACTCAAAATTCTTGAAATTTTAACATTCTGCTCTGAAGAGCCGTTATGAACCAGTTACAGCCATCCACTGGATAGATCTCATTCCTGTCTCAAGTTAAATGGTGGAGAACCACAGATGCCTAAGTCCTCGAAACAGTTTTCCTTGACTTACTCTTAAATATTTCCCCTTGACTTTTATCAGCAGTTAATATGAGAACCTATTAAACAAAAAGAACTGTTGCTGAAAAGTTCTATCAAAAATGCAGTATGGCTCTTCATCAGTGGTTCCTAACCAGGGGAGTTTTATTCCCCAGAGGACACTGGCAGTAACTGGAGACACTTTTGATTGTCACAGCTAGGGGAGGGATGCTACTGGCACCTAGTGGGTAGGGGCTAGAGATACTGCTAAACGTCCTACAAAGCACAGGGCAATCCCTTAACCAACCCCAAATCCTAACAGTGCCAGGACTGAGAGATCCTGCTCTGGGTCTTCTGTATAAAATGAAATGTCACTGATTTCTTTATAACTTAGCAGCAGTCTCTCTCCTAAAATATTTCCTTCTATCAGATAACAAGAATTTTGTAACCCACTATGTCTCCCCCTTTTGTTCTTCACCAATAGCACCCGTACTTGCTCCTTTTAGGAACTCTGATTTTCTGTTCTTATTTTAACCTTATTGTGCCAAGTCCTTTGTTAATAAGACAAATTATCTTTAGAAATAAGAAGGTGAATGGATGGTTGAATGAATGTCTGGATAGATGATGGATGGATGATGGGTGGATGGATGACAGATGGTGGATGGATGATGATGGACAGATAATTTATGAATGGATGATGGATAGAGGGGTAGATGATAGATGGATGGGTAGGTGATGCAGGGATGATGGAGGATGAATGGATCATGAATGGATAGATAGATGGGAAAAGTAAAATAGAGAAAAGGAAGGAGGAAATTTTGCTTTGGAAATTAACAACACTGAAAACAATTGGATGGCTGCCAATATAAGTTTTAAGAGCTTTACATGGAATATATTTAAATAATTTTTTTTTAATTTTCAGAGGAAAAACAATCCGTATTCTCTTGCATCCCTGGTATCCTTTGAAGTTAAGAAGATGCCTTATAAAGATCAGCCAGCAAAACTCCCAGAAGGAAGCATAGCAGTGAGTATCTTAAAATACATAGGTGCAAATAGCATCACTGAAATTATTTTTTAAGTCATTGTTTAGTGTGTGCTCAGTTTAAGTCCTTATTACATTGACTTGAGAAAAGTTTCCCTCTTTAGATCACTGTTTTCTTATTTCAGTGTCACTGGATCACAGTTTTAAACCTTCAATGTAAAACTTCTACCCCTCAAAAAATCACGAGGCAAGACTAATACCATTTTTCAGTTTGGCCGTTTTGTTTGAAAGAAGTCCAGATACTGATGATTGTTACAATAAAATCATTGTTATTGCTAATTTTAAGCAATAACAGACTGAGGCGGGAAGGAGGAATCTCTTTGTTAAGGACAGTTGCCACAGATCAGCTACATGAGCTTGGACCGTCAGCTTTTCTTTCTATACAAAGAATAGTCATTTTTACCTGGAAATAAAAATACACTATTAGCTTCGTTAGACTGAAACGTTATTTTTAAAATTGAGGCCGTTAAACATCACTGACACCCAAGTATCTGTCCCAGCATAACAGCTGCATCCTCGACAACCTGACCAGGCTGTGGGGGGCAGAGGGGGGAACGGGTGACAGGGGACCAACAGGCACAGTCACCAAAGCTCTGCCTTTGCTGGGAAAGTGACCACAGCCAGGACTCCGGAAGATGTTACTAAGATTGAAACCTTCATCTCCTGGTCATGCCATAGATATTTACAACCTCAACTTGGGCTCTGGTCCCCAGGTCCTTGTTACTCAAGATGTGTTTTGCTGGCCAGCCTCATCAACCACACCTAAGAATTGTTAGAAATTCAGAAACAGGCCTCGCTCAAGAGCTGCTGAGTCAGAATCTGCAGTTTATCAGTATCACCAGGGCATCATGTACACTTGAGATGTATTGTACTGGATGTTTGAGAAGCATTGCTTTGGACAGTGTAGAAGTGGATACCATCATAATTTCTCATCACTGTAGGTCTTATAACGTAACTAATAGTTACTTTTTCTAGCCTAATCTACTCTTAATTGTTTAAA